TGTTTGTTTTAATGTTTCTTTGCTGAATTGACTGGTTTATTTACTTCCAACTCCCCTAATCTTTGTTCTAATAAGGTGGTAGACTTATTCTATCAGACAACAACAACATGAACTTTTTTTTTCTGTCAGTCATGGGGCTTGCACTCTGGGTCTGGGCACTGTCCCTCAGCTCTTCAGCTCAAGGCTAGCGCTCTACAGACACTTGAGCTACAGCACCACTTCCTGTTTTCTAGTGGTTTATCGGAGATAAGAGTCTCACAGACTTTCCTGCCTGGGCTGGCTTTGAACTGTGATCCTCAGATCTCAGCCTCCTGAGTAGCTAGGATTACAGGCATGAGCCACTGGCGCCCAGCTACAACATGAACTTTTATCTTCTCTGTACTAGAGTTGGTTGAATTTCTCTTTATGAATACACACAGGTCCATCTGGTTGGTATTGACATCTTCACTGGGAAGAAATATGAAGATATCTGCCCGTCAACTCATAATATGGATGTCCCCAACATCAAAAGGAATGACTTCCAGGTATGTAGGTTTATAAGATGGTAATGGGTAATGGTTTAGGGGAGGGACTTACGTGGATTGCTGAGAAGTTGTGAGAGGGGAGAAATGGCATAAGATACTGGTTGTAGTTAGTTGGCACTCCAGTTTACCAGATATTGTCAGGCTACATAGGTCTGCCTTCAACTTGGCTCCCTATCTGTCCTCAGCTTATTGGCATCCAGGATGGGTATCTATCACTGCTCCAGGACAGTGGGGAGGTGCGAGAGGACCTTCGTCTGCCCGAGGGTGACCTTGGCAAGGAGATTGAGCAGAAGTATGACTGTGGAGAAGAGATCCTGGTAGGTTGCCCCTTCCCCCCATTGTATGCTTTATGGGCTTCAAATTATGAGTTGTAGTATCTCTAGACTTCTTTCTCTCGCAGATCACGGTGCTGTCTGCCATGACAGAGGAGGCAGCTGTTGCAATCAAGGCCATGGCAAAATAACTGGCTCCCAGGTTAGCAACATTCCTCACATTTATACATTTATCCTGTTAAAACATTACTGGGCTGGCTTTCTAACCTTAACTTAGTCCTGTTCTCCCTACCCTTGTGTTTAAGTTATTACCATGTTTTAATATGGTTTTTTCTTTTTTACTTAGGATGGTGGTGGTGGCAGCAGTGATCCTTGAGCCTGCAGAGGCCCCTCCCCCAGCCTGGCCCTGCTCTGGTGGGGCCCTTGGCCGGATTCCTCCTATACAATTTATTTGATGTTTTATTTTGATTTACCCATCCCCTCAAACTGTCGGGGAACCCCTGCCCTTCACCTAGCTCCCTTGGCCAGGAGCGAGGGAGCCATGGCTTTGGAGAAGCTGCCTTCCTCTTCTCCCCTCGCACTACAGCCCTGGTGGGGGAAAGGGGTGGGTGCTGCTTGTGGTTTCATTTTGGGGTTTTGTTTTTTTTTTTAATTGGAATCAGAAGCTGTGGATTCTGGCAAATAATCCTTTTGCCCTCCCCACCCTGTCCCTGGTCTGGTCCCATTCTCCATAGCCCTTTGCCCCAAGCACCACAGATTGGGGACCAGTCCCCTCCCCTGTCTGTGTCTCCCAAACCCCTTTGTACGGGGGAGGGAAAGAGAGGGGAGGGGATTTTGCCCCCATGGGCTTCACCCTTTCCTGTGGGCTCTCTCCCCGACACATTTGTTAAAATCGAACCTGAATAAAACTACAAGTTTAATATGAAGCCCCCAACTCAGTTCCTTATTTGAGTTAAAATGTGTATTGACTGAGCCTTGGGAAGCAAAAAAAGAAACAGCAGCAGCCAGGGACAGTGGGAGATGCATTTTATTGGCCTGGGGGAGACTCTTGCCCATGGGGAATGGGAAGGGTAGGTTGAAGGCACACTTCACTTGTGGTAAAACCGAGGATTCTGGCTGTGTTGGATGAAGGGTAGCCGAGGCCCAGCTTGGCTGGTAGTGGCAAAGCCTGACTGATGAAAGAAGGGCTCTGTCAGTGGGTAGACTGGCCTTTTACTTCACACACTAAGAAGTGACAACTCATAGGAGCCACCAGTTCCTATTTCCCTGGTAGTATGAGACTAATTACTATCCTTACCTTTCCTGCTGGTTGCATCTGCACAGGGAGCTGAGGGGAGGCAAGGAGTCCAGGGGCTGGATGCAGAGCCTGGGGATGCATGGGGCGCAGGGAAGACTGCAGAAGACAGTGATAACCTGAAGCATACTGGGCCTACCCCTCCCCACCCCCACTCCCAAGGCTTCAGTACTCACTGAATCAGAGAAGCCAGTCTGCTGGTTAGCATGTTCTATCTGCTTCTGCAAGGACAGAGCACCACCAGGCTGGAGGAACCCTATATAGGAAGAAGGGATTATGAAGTGAGTATACAATGAAGATGGACCCATGGAGCCAGGCCTCCTGCCCAGGATGTTATCACCTGTCTGGGTGGGCTGAAAGTGGCCGTGCACTGCATAGGGCTGTGGCTGTGGCTGTGATAGGTACTGCACTGCAGGAAATGCTGAAGGTGCTGAGAAAGGCAAGAGACACAGCCATTAGAACTTCCTTTCACTCCTAACATTCTTTTCCTCTGGGCTCTAAGGAAAGATCCACTCCATCTTCCCAACACTCACCTCTAAGCTGCTGACTAGGACTATAGGTTGGCTGTGTGGGTCCATAGTGAGGAGGGGGCTGAGCTGTCCCATAGGCACCACCTGGGCTTCCCTGGAATTGTCCATGCTCTGGGGTCCCTGTGAAAGCAGCTGCTGAGCCCACGTAGTGCCGAGTCTAGAAGGAAGGATGAAAACTCAGTGGTAACTTGAAATTGTGTTCTATCTTTTCACTTTCCTCGTATCCAATGCATGCATGCTTGGTATGTTTGAATGATGGTGGCCACTATGCCAGGGAGAAAAGTAGAGAAAAGCAACTAGGTCTACACATTTACCGTAAGCACTTGAGGTCCAAACATCTGTTTAGCTCTGTCAGCTGCCATGAGGGTGCCTGGGCGATTGTGTCCACCAGGGCTTCCTAGAGAAGGAGAGACTTCATGATGCTGAAATGGGAGGCTGCAACCTCCAGGAGGGCCTCTTGTGTCAGGTGTTTAATTCCTCACCCTGCATGCTGAGGAGGTGAGTTCCTGTGTGAACTGTCAGGCTCTGCTGATAAGCAGCTGATGTCAGAGTGGTCAGGTCACTACAGTGAAAGAAAAGCAGGTCAAAGTCAAGGACATGCAGCCCTTCCTGTTCTTACATTTTTTTATTTTGGTGCCAGTCCTGTAACTTGAACTTAAGGCCTTGGCACTGTCCCTAAACTTTTTCACTCAAGGCTGGTGCTCTACCACTGGAACCACAGCTCTGGACTCTTGTTGGTTAACTGAAGAGTCTCATACTTGTATGCCTGAGGTGGCTTCGAACCATAATCTTCAGATCTCAGGCTCCTGAGTAGCTACAATTACAGGCATGAGCCACCAGCACCTGGCTGGCTAGACACTTATTTTTTGTTGGTTGTGGGGCTTGGGCTCTGGGCCTGGGCACTGTCCAGCTCAAGAAAAGCCCTCACCACTTGAGCCACAATGCCACTTCAGATTTTCTGATGGCTATTGAAGATAAGGATCTCAGATTTTCCTAGCAGGGCTGGCTTTGAACTGGGATCCTCCGATCTCAGCCTCCTGAGTAGCTAGGGTTACAGGTGTGAGCCACAAGTGCCCGGTGACACTAATTCTTGATTCCACTCTGCCTTCACATTTACATTTCACTAAGTATCACCTTTGCTCCTTCCGCCTCCGTTTCTCTTCCTCATGCAAAACTTTCTTGAGCTGAAGGAAAAGCTGGTGCTTCTCTTCCTGGAGGGCCAAAAGCTTCTCCTGCAACTTCAGAATCTGGAAAAGGAGGGAAGATGGGATAGAGGTAGGAAGAGCCAAGGAAAAAGCCAGAGGCTTGGAGACATCAGGGCCTGCATACTTGTTCCTTGGTCTCTTCTAGTGACATTCTCTCTTCCATCTCTTTTTTCTTTCTTCTCTCCTGTTCTTCTTTCATCTTCTGTTCCATCATTTTGTCCACCTCTTCCTCTTCTGGAGAATTAGTATGAAGGGGGAAGTGGCAGAGTGGTGAAAATAATATGAATGTTAGACTGACAAAGTTTCCTCACTGATGTGGGCACTAGCTAGGCCATACCTCTCTATTCCCAACCATGCAGTAGGGAAAGAGGCTTTTAAGGTGCTCTCCAAGGTCCTTCCCAGCCCAGACCTCAACCCGGCGGCACCATTCCCTCCCTGCCTCCTCCGTCCTTGCCCAGCAGACGCATAGATAGTGTAGCCGCCATGGTCGGTGTGCCCGACCTCCCACTCTGGCCCGGGCTCACCCTGCCGCTTGCGCTCCCGCTCCATCATGATGTGCCGGTGCAGGGCCCTGGCCATGGCGTTGGAAAGCTTGGGGCGCTCCAGGAGCGCAGGCATGGTGCTGCCGGGAGCGCTCGGGCCGCAGGCGCCCGGCTCTGTCACTGACTGCTAGAGCTTGGCTGGGGCCTGCTGGGAAGCAGATACTCAGGAAGAACGCACTCGCCCCAGGCGGAAGCTCTTCGGCGCGGCCCGCTCGCCACTCGGGTCACGTGCTCCGAGCGCCCGCGCCCGTCTGGGCCACCGTTCCCGCCCCGGCGCGCGCTGGCCGCGCGGGGGTCCTTGGCTTGGCGCCCACACCCCTCCGCGCTGCCTGGGCACCAGCTCCACCCTACCCGCCTTCTCGGCTCTCTTCGCGACCTCAGGGGCGCCTGGTTCTCTACGTCACTTCCGGATGCCGGACCGACTCCTTCCGGAGTCACAGCGGGGAACAAGCCTCGCCGGTTGGGCGACAAGGAACCCGGAAGCGCGGCAGGACGGAGGCCGCACCTCCAAGCCCCGGGCTGGGGGTCCCGCTCGGGCGGCGAGGTAGCCGGCCTCGGAGCTCTTTACTTGGAGATCGCGGGCGCTGAGTGGCGCGCCAGACAGAGGCGGAGGCAGATACTCTGAGAGCGTTTATTGGCTCCTTAGAAATCAAGAGTCAGTATCAACTGTACAGAGCCCGCGTCTTCCTTGGGCCCGCCCTTCCGTCCCCACTCCCACCCCATTGCCCGGGGGAAAAAGCAGCTTCGCGTGGGCACAGGGAGAGACCCCTTTGGAATTCACAGTAACCAGAAACAAAAAAACGGAAATAAATTAAGTGATATGGGGAGGGGAGTAATAGGGAGTCATGTTCCCCAAGTCAGTGCATGAAGGGGATCCAGGGCCTGGTGCTGGGCTCCCCATGAACTCATTCTCCAGCAGAGGAAGTGTGCTGGGCCCTGGCCGTGGAAATGTGCCCCACTTCCCATGTGAATCTGAGAGCTTGCCTAGTGCTCCCATGTCTGCCAGGACAGCACCTGTGCATGCCATGAGTCACTGGAATGAGGTGGAGGCAGTCTTCACTCAAGAGTCCAGGGCCTAGGCCCAGCTGTGCTTGTAGTAGTGGCGTTTCACCCCTCATTCCACCCGTACCAGCAGGGCATAGAGGAGTGTGGCCCCCTTTTCCTTTGTGACCCATTCAAGTTCGGCCGGGCTAAAGTGTGGGTCCGGGGGTTCTCGGAGTGCAGCAGAAGGAGGGCCAGGGGTGTAGGAGCCAGGGCGCACACACACCTGGAACGCCACCTGGGCCTGATGCGTCCGCTGGGATTTGGGGTCCCGGAATCTGTCAGATATGAAGTAGAAATAATTCAAACCCAAGCACTACCAAAAAACCCCAAAACAAATGAACTAGGGGATTGAGGTCTCCTAGTTCCCTTCTTCTCCTAGCTAATCCCTCTCACCACAGAATTGGTTGTTCCTAAGAAATACTGCTTAAGGGATTCAGCTCCAGCTGTACTGTTGGAAACCCTCTTCCTTCTCAAAGTTTGCTTAACTAACTCCACCACCCTCATGCCTTCACTCAAACCTCACCTATGCCCACCCTGACACCCTGTTTAATAAAGTATAACCACCCCAAATGGTATTCTCATCCACTTCACCTGTCTTTGTTTCCATACTGTTAACTTACCACCTTAAAAAATACTAAAGAGGGCCAGGCACCAGTGGCTCATATCTGTAATCCTCGCTACTCAGGAGGCTGAGATCTGAGGATCGTGGTTCAAAGCCAGCTTGGGCAGAAAAAGTGCATGAGACTCTTATCTCCAATAAACCACTCAGAAAATGAAGTGGCGCTGTGGCTCAAGTGGTAATGCTTGCCTTGAGCTAAAGAGCGGAGGGACAGTGCCCAGGCCCAGAGTTCAAGCCCCACGACTGACCAAAAAAAAGAAAAAAAAGACTTCATTATATGCTATATACATTCTGGAGAAGCCAGGTGCTAGTGGCTCATGGCTGACACCTGTAATCCTACCTACTCAGGAGGCTGAGATATAAGGATTGAGGTTTGAAGCCAGTTGAGGCAAAAAAGTCTGTGAGACTATTTCCAGTTAATGAACAAAAAGCCAGAAGTGGAGCTGTGGTTGAGCTCCAGCCTTGAGTGAAAAAGCTGAACAAAAGCTTAGCTCTTAGGGCCTAAGTTCAGTTCTCAGTACAGACACATGCACAAAAAGACCAAAACCAAACAAACAAAAAAACTAAAGAGAATACATAAATTTCACAAGAGCAACACTCTTGTTTTCTTTTACTAAGCATGTGGTGACTTCAATGAATAAATGAAGAGAGGGCTTAGCTGGAAAAGCAGCAACTAGTAAACTAGGGTGGGAAGAGATGGGGTGGCAAATCATAAGGACCCAAGGGGCCATGAGTTCCCCCAGCCATTGTACTCACTGCACTTTGGAGGCCAGGGGCTCGGCCCCAGCATATTGAAGGGAGGGAGAGAGCAGCACTGGAGGGGGTTGCTCCTCCCGGGGAGGTGCACAGTTCTCACCAGGCTCCTCAAACCCCACTCCCGGCTCTCCCTTCAAGGGCCGGCAGCTCAGGATGGAGGCACTTCCTGTGAGGACAAATGGGGTCAGCACAGTTCTCCTAGGACTCCCAAGACCAGCCTGTCCCACCCCTGCCTGCTCCACAGTACCTGCTCCCAGTTCCCCCCGGTCCAGCACCCTCCGTACAGCTGCCACATTGCTCCCATGATATGCCATGTGCCACTTTTTGGTTAGTGTCCCAGCTTCCAGGCGGGGATTCACTCTAGGATAGGACAGACAGGACAAAGGTCAGTGGGTCCCCAAGATCATCCTCAACACATAAAGTTCTTTTTTAGCCAGCTCTGGGGCTTGAACTCAGGGCCTGGGCACTGTCCCTGAGCTGCTTTTGCTCAAAGCTAGCGATCACTTGAGCCACAGCGCCACTTCTGGCTTTTTGTTTATGTGGTACCGAGGAATCAAACTCAGGGCTTCACGCATGCTTGGCAAATACTCTACTACTAAGCCACTTTCTCAGCCCCATTCTATCATTTTTTTGTGTGTACCTCCTCTTGGGACTCTTCTGCAAGATGGCAAAAAAGCAGCAGGGAAAATGCATGAGTCTGGTCCAAATGTACCTGAGGTTGAACCTGCACCAGCCAAAGGGCAGGGCATATTCTCGTGGGGGCTCCCCTCTGCGCCTGTGGGCCTCATCTCCTCGAAGCTTCCGGCAAGATTCACAGTAGCACAGGCTACGCTTCGGTGGAGGCATGAAATAATCCTCTGTGGGAAAGTGACAAGCTTAGTTTCAACCACACTGCTGCCCTCCAAGCCAGCCTCCAGGACTGGCTATGGCCATAGTCTAGCCATGGGAATGTGGTGGTTTCTAGGAGACCAGAACTCACCAGGAAGCAGCAGCAGTTCTTGGAAGCGGGAGCAAAGGGCATGGTACTCACAGCTCTTTAGAGGGCTAGCAGTGGGTGGTGGACCCCAGCACACACTCTCCTTGATACCTGAGGGAACAGAGGTCTCAGTAGGCAGGGCTAGAAGGACCAGAGTTGGGGAGGGGGAAGGGAGGAAGGGCAGGATCATGGTCCCTTTAGGCGGGTGTATGTACCATCCACCATGTCAGCTTTCTCCATGTCCCCTTGGGTTCCAGCACTTTTCCCATTGGCAGCCCCTGGCTCAGGACTCACAATTGTCACCTGCAGGGCACAGAGGTGGTCAGCCAGAGCTTCTTCAACACCCCAGGGCCTGCTGATTTCCTCTGTGGACTACATACACACTTCCTAGTTTCCCCATTCCAGTGCTACTAACCTGCTCACACTGCCCATAGAGGTCCACAAGTGCATGGCAGGGCTGGGGCACGTCAGGTACAGCTACCCCCTGGTCCACCCCATTGACATGGAGATGCAGGCCCCCAGAGCTGTCTAGCCGCAGTCCCAGGATGGTGCCTTCAGGACACGTATCCAGATTTGGCCCAAACTTCTCACAGATCTGGGAAGAGAGAACCACTGTCTTCCAGACATCAGATTCACTCCTCCAGCAGCCATCCAGCTCCTCACTGCTTCTGGGTGGAATCAATCTCTGGGCTTTCCTCCACCCTTACCCACCTGCAATTTAATTACGTAGAGTCCCCTCTCTTAGCCCCAACTATAACATTCTCAACAGCAGTGGCACAAGAGTAAGGAACAGGCCTAAAGTGATCACGTAAACAACACATGCTCAGCCACACACACAGCTGCCCCCTTCAGACCTGAGGTACTACCCCCAGGGCTGTGGGTTTCCTTTGCTATTGGAGGCATGGCTCACTCCACTCTTTGGCTCCCTCCTCACCTTGAGACCATTGTGGAAAACACCTCGGCCGCGCAACAGCCAGGCTGCCCGTTTGAGGGCACAGGCAGAGGCAGGGAAATTGAGCCTCTCTGGTGGGCAGGTGATGACTCCCAGTACAAGGGAAGATGTCCACTGTCGGTTCAAGAAGTCTATCCGCACCTGAAAGAAAAGAAACTAATCTATAACCATGGCCTCCTGGGTAGAGGCCACTCGCCTAGCCTTTCAGCCAGAGGCAGGGAGGGCCTGGATGATACTTAGTAGACCTAGACCAGAAAGCACAAACTCAAGGGTTGTGTGTGTGTGTGTGTGTGTGTGTGATCTCAATCTCCTAGGGTTTCGTGTGTGTGTGTGTGTGATCTCAATCTCCTAAGAAGCTATTACTACAGGCATGAGTCAATGGTACCTGGCCCTCATTTTTCCCCTCCTTTGCTGGAAATTGAACTCAAGACTTGGGACATGCTAATACTCTACCACTGAGCCATAATTCCCATGTAATCCTTCTGTAAGCCTTCATTTACTATCACCTGTGTTACTATCTATAACCTTGTTCCTAGAGGCTTCTGTCACTGGGCTAAGTTGAGATATTTTTCAGTTTGCAGGAGAAAGTTCCCCTATGGGGAGTTTGCTCCTGGGTCACACTAGAGCAAGAAGAGCTGGGAAGAAAGAGGCATAGTACATACCTGCACCAGGAGCTGGGGCACCAGGGGCTGGCTGATGACAACAATGCCCTGATTGTAGCTGGCCACCCGCGTGGCTGTGCAGTTCCCATTGGACAAAAGGATATTCTTCCCATGGTTCTCCAGGAACTCAAGGGCTGTGGGTATAATACCCACTTGGTTCTGGTCCTGGCAAGGAAGAGACTGAACTGCCCCAGGGACCAATGGCAGGCCTGACCCACCCTCCCCACTAGAATGTACACAAAGCTCAAGTATGAGCTTCTGCTGAGCCACTGGAGAACCTAGGAAAGTCTGGCTCACCAGCAGCCCACCAACTGCTTATCCCCAGGCCCAGTAGGCCCTGCCACAGTCTCTTACTCCTAAGCCACGTTCCTCGCCCTCATCATCATCCTCGCCTTCACTGCCGGTGTCCGAGCTGGGGGAGGGAGGCTGAGTACTTTCTGGCTCTTCTATTCTCGAGGAACTGACAATGGACACACTACGTACTGGCCCATACAGATCCAACACAGCCCATACATTCTGGGGACAGACATAAGACCCAGGAAGTCAGAGATCAACACAAGACTCTCACCCATTCTTAGAACCCAAGGAAGCTGAGGTCTACCTTGGCAATGCCAGAAGCTGCAGGTCCCATATCCTCTCCATCCACCAGGATGTGCATGGTGTCATCTGTTCCCCGACGAATGCCCACCCGGCTTCCCACCTGGGAAGAACAGGGACAGATGCTGAGTCTTCTTGGACTCTCTCGTTCCCACCCTCCTACCCTGCGGTCCTGGCATCAGCTGCTTCACCCCCAGCCTCTCTAGATTCCGGCCATAGTTCATCCTCTGGAGCTGTCCATCACGCCTCACTTCACAGCTGGACACCATCCAGGTGGTCTTAGTCCGGAGCTCTGGCAGGGAAGGAGGCAGCCCTGGGCCACCACCTGCTCCAGGTCCCATCTCTCCTGGTGCTAGTGTGGTCAGCCCCAGCCGGAGGGAACCTGCCCACTTTTCATCCAGCTCTTCCACTTTCACCTGTGGGACAGAAAACATTAGCTGACCTTCTTTGAAAGGCCATCAGGCTCCCCCTCCCCTGGTCGCAACCCTGCAGCCCACCTCAAACACTTCATCAGCTTTGAGCTCCTTGGTGCTAAAAACAAGGCCATGTGCATAGCCAGCCACACGCACTGCTCTTGTGCCATCCTCCTCCAGAGTGACATTCTTGCCACACGTACTGTGGAATCGGTGAGCCACACCAGCCACTGTGGATAGATAGATGGCCAGGGAAAGAAGGGGGATTAGGGCAGTTAGCTTCAGATAAGATGTGGAGCAAAACTTTTAGATGAAACTGGATGTAGACATTAAGATCTCAGGTGCTATTATTCATCAAAACCTGCTGACAAGCACTAGGCAAAATGGCCTAGCCCCAAATAGCCTATAAATGCAGCAACTTGGGAGATAGAAATCAGGAGAGTTTCAGTTCCAAGCCAACCTGGGCAAAAAGTTAGCAAGATCCCCTATCAACCAAAAAAGGCAGGCATGGTGGCACACAGCTGTGATCTCAGCTACATAGAAAACAGAGGTGGGAGAATCACTGTCCCAGGCCAGCCCCAGTTTCTGGCAAAAAAAAAAGCATGAGACCCTATCTAAAGCAAAAAAGGGCTAGGCATGCAGCTCAAGTGACAGACTGCCAGCCTAGTAAGCTGAAGGGGCCCTGCATTCAAATCCTATTATCACCAAAAGAAAACACCATTCATCATAACAGGATATCTGTACATAGCATTCTGGCTTCTGGGTGATAAGGAAGCAACCAGGCTCTGGGCCCCAGGTCAGTCCCCTATTTCTGGACTGCCTACCATCAAGCTCTATTCCCTCCCTCCCATAGCCTGTAGCATGTTCTCTTATGCCCACATAGGTACCAGGGGAGTGCAGGGGGAATGACTTCTCAGTGGCAGTGTTGCTGGTTGCCAAGCTGTTATCCATGGGGCCAGTAGCATTGGTGATGGACACTTGAACACACTGGCCATAGAGATCCACCACTGCATACACCTCTGTGTAGAGAAGAAAGGCCATCAGAAGCCTGAGGGTCCAGGCAGCTTGAACTAAGGGGGCAGGCTGGAAGCCACAGAGTAGTCACCTTTACCCGGAGGCAAGCCTGAGCAGGCAGCGCCTTGGTCCTGGCCATTGATGAAGTAGTGCAAATCCCCCTTGGCAGTTCGCATCATGCCAATGCGGGCACCTGTGCCCAGTGCATCCAGGTCGCACCCATAGTTATTGCGCATGGTGTTACCATCTTGCATGATGGCTGTGCCACTGTGGGGAGAACAGAAAGGGTGAGTGAGCTTCATATACTCATTCCCTCCCTGCTCTCCTCAGTATGTCTGTCAGAACCATGTGTGTATATATTTCTTGATCTTAGTCTGAAGTCTAATCATGTCCCTTTGCCCCTGGGAAAAGCAAGAATCCCTAGCTTTCCAGAACTGAACAGAAGAGGCAGCCATATCCCCTAGATTTATTTCAGGCCTAAATCCCGCTTCCCTGATCCCAGTTCAACCCAGTCCCACACCAAGCTGACCCCTGAAGCAGGCAGCCTAACCTCAGCATCCACGTATCATAGTCAATGTCTGTCATGGTGTTGGGGAATTCCAGGTCTTCGGGCCGAATTGCAGTTACTCCTGGGAGAAGGGAGTGGAAGTCAGAGCTGACCCTGGAGGCCATAGGCATCCAGTATCCCCGAGTCTCCACTCACCAGCCTCAATGGAGCCAGACCAGCGGTCCACCATCTTTTGAATGACAATTTCAAACAGCTCTCCATCCCTCAGGGCCCTGCCAGGGAGATTAGGGATCACTGAGGCCGTGATTATGTGGGCAACAGGATAGCAGAGACATCAAAGTCCAGAGACTGACCGGTTGGAAATGACAATGGCATCATTGAACTCGCTACGGCAGTTGTGGCGGAGTGCAGTGCGGCCCCCGTTAGTGATGACTGCATTACTGCCATGCAACTGGTGGAAGCGCAGGTCAGAGGCCCCTGCCCCTGAGGAGGGGGAGCTTGGAGACACCTGATTATTCCCCTCAGAGAGTGGCTCGGGGACCGGAGGCACCTCTGTAAAAGTGGACATCACCCACTAAGTTTTCAGGTGCCTGAAAAGCTTCCCAAAGCCACCCTAACCCATGCCCCAGCCCTGCCCGGCCCTCACCCAAGTCGTCCACAATGGTGGCCTGGGCCGCTTGGCCATAGAGATCAACGACAGCATAGACACCCGGGGGTACATTCCAGGCAGCAGGACCCTGTGTCATTCCATTGACAAAGAAGTGTAGAGTCCCGTCCTCCCGCCGCACCACGCCTACCGTGTCCCCTGCCTTGGAAGAAGTGGGGCTGGAGTGAGGAGTCAGGCAGAGTTCCTACCTGGGATGGTTCTGTATCCACCCCGCCTCTCTGGCTGCCCCACTACTTTGCCCAGGCAGTGTGCCTACTCTCCCACCTTGAGGCGATCCAAGTTGTGCCCATATTCATCCAGGATGGTTGTCCCATTGTGCATCACCCCATTCCCAGTCATCATCCAGGTCCCTATGTGGGCAGGAGTGGCAGAGGAGATAAGGGAGAAAGCAGTTAACACCACATCCTACTCCTGTCTTTCCTTTGAGGTTTGGCTTTCTTCTTAGTGGGATGAAATAATTTCAGTTCCCCAGACAGCCCATTGGATGAGTTGTCACAAGTATAATAAGAAAGAGGCTAGAAACTGGAAGGTGGGGGCTGGGAAGGTGGCTCAGTGGTAGAGC